AAGCCAATTTACACCAAAAATGCTTGCTATGTTAGCTGTCCTATCATTGCTACCTTTTTGGTGAAAGCTGAAATAAAAAAGGTATTTAACTCTTCAGCCACTGCTGCATTTTCTGTTATTGTCTTTTCCTCCTCATTGAGTAACAGTCCTACACTGTTCTTGATCTTTCTCTTGCTTCTAATGCATTAGTAAAATGTTTGCTTGTTACCCTTTATGACCCTAGCTACTTTAATCTTGAGAGGGACACTGTATTGAATCTAAAGCTTCTATTTGTGATCAGTCACTTGGAAGAACTACAACATAATACTTAGTCCTGTCATGAGTACAAGGGACTGGACTAGATGGTCCTTTCCAGTCTGACAATTCTATTATGAGATGTTTGCTACCACCATCCTGATTCCACAGGGACTCATTGTTTCCATAGAATATTCTGGGCTGAGATCTATTTCATTTATTAAATGATGCTGAAATAACTCTGAAGAATAAGAGTTGGTCAGAAAGAGACCGTATCACTAAGGGCTTTCTGCATTTTTGTGACCTGGTTTGCCACAATTGGCTGGCATTTGAATATTATATAGAAGTCGTATCAGCCAAAGAATATTGGGCTAGAAGGTCTGTCTGAAGCAATGATCAGTATCAAATGCTTCAAAGTGAAGACTGATTGTGCTGTGCATTATAGGGAGAAAAAGATTTCGTCTTGACCCCTGAAGATGGTCATCTTAAGGCTTGAACCATGAACTTTCAATTTTTCCAGGATCACTGGCTTAACTTGCATACTTTCTAATTATTTTTAAGGCTTTTAGAAAACCTGCTCAATTACTCTGGTTATGAGATTCCACAGTAGCAAATGCCATAATTGTTTTAGAAAATGAACGAGTTCAGAAAAATCTTGCAAGACTAAGTGGACAGTTTCTTCTTGTCTACCTGGGAACATCTGGCTAAGCAGATCTTTACTGTGAGGCTTACAAAGTGAACAGTTTGGTTAATCACCTTCTGAAATCTGAGTCACCCAAAGAAACTACATGGACAAATTAAAATATTCAGTTTCACAATAAAACAAATGGGATTGCTGCCAAGAGGGGTTCAAATGTTCTTGGCCCTAGAGGAATGATGCTATTTATATTATCTCTGGGCTCTTCTCAGCAATTGCATCTTAAAATGAGAGAGGTGAATGAATACATGGATAGAGAAGCGAATGGATGAAGGGGTGGAAAAGTCGATGGGTGGACAAGGAATGACATAGTAAATCTAGATGGAAGGAGGTGTTGGACTTACCCCGGAGCCCAAGGAGTTGACCTCGGTGGAGGACTACAGCTAGGCACGGGCCAGGAATGGGAAAACAAAGGAACATGGGAACAGACAGGTAGGTAAGGAAAGAAGAAAAAGGCAATTATTGGGAGAAACTGCAGGAAGAAGAATTTTTTTTTTTAAATCTAGAGAAACACCAGACTGACCTTGCTCTCCTCTTTCTTATCGTAAAAGAACATGTGGTGCAATAAAGCAGGGGAGAGAAAAATTCAGCTTCATAGCGAAATCTTACTGCATTTTTAAAAATCACATCAACTATCAGAGGCTAGTGCATCTGCTTCTAGTCACTGTGAAATGACTTGAAAGCAGGGTTCCCTCTTCTTTCTGTAGTGCTGGATAGAACATTTCTGTTTGATATAAACAGCAAATCCACTGTAGTCCTCCTAGATTGGAATTGTCTACTCCTGCTTCTTAACACCAGGTTAATCAGCCACTAAATCCAACTCTGTGTATCACAACTTGAGAACCCCATTTCTGAGCCCATATCATAAGGCCTGTCCCTTTTGGGGGATGCTTGCATTAACGGTTAGATCCTTACTGAAAATTCCAGTACATTGAAGTCCACTTAGAAGCAAACTTTCCCCAATGGAAAGCAGATAAGATGTTGATTGGCATGTGAAGAGTGGCATTAGTGAATGTTTAAACTACTGACCCCTCTTCCCCAATTCTAGAGTCTTGTCTGTTAGTACTTGCTGGGTCCCCTCATTTTACTGGATAGAGTTGGCTTAAGATACTGATTTTTACTGGACTGACTAAATCAAATCAAAGATTTAGTTTTAATGAACCTTCTGCACCATTAGCCCAGCAAGATGTTGCTGGTGGAGAAAGTTCAGCTACTTACTGCATCATAAGAGGTCTACTGAAACAAATGCTCAGAAAACTTCTCATTCTGTAGCCACCCTTCCAGAAACAGGCTGCATTTTCCATTGCTGCATCCCCCTGACCACTGCCTTCAGAATGAGTCAACAGCTGTTAACCACCTTAAAGTCATGTTCAACAGCAGCCTGCATCTAGATTGAGCCAACAACTCCTCCTCAGGAGGAAGAAACACTTTCTACTGGACTGCAAGGGCCAGCAACAAAAACGTCCATTTGATCTTTGCATGAGGCAAATTAACCTCTAGTTTATTCTTAATTCCATAACTTGGGTGTGTCAGATCATAATACAGGGCACCTCAATCAAATTAGGCAAAACAAAGAACCTCAAACAACATCGCTGAAAGTGAACACTGCAGAGATATTTCAGACTTTCCCTAATTCTATGGGCTATCATTTCACAAGCTGCCTATTTCTCTCAGTCCTTCCCAGCTGAATGGACCTCATTACAAAGATCAGTCTTCAAGCCAAATAATTCTAGGAACACAGGAATTGCCAGATGGGCTCAGACTAGTCCAATATCCCATCTTAAACAGTGACCAGCATTAGATGCTTCAGAGGGAAGTACAGGAAACTGCAACATCAGGCACCTGCACAGTAATTCTGTTGCTGTGAAGAGGTTACAGATTGGCTTAAACCCTGAAGCATGAGCATTTAAACTTCTTTGCATTAACTGTGGTAAGTCTAGATACTCCGAATATCCAGATAACAAGATTCTAAAAGGAGCAGATCAGGTAAGTTCTTAGCCTCAACAATATTCTGTGGCAATGAGTTCAAGAATTTATTTACAAATTGTGAAAAATGTATTTCCTTGTATCAGTTTTAAATTCTCTTCTTTTCAATTTCATTCACTGTCCCTTGTGTATGTATTATGAGACAGGGAGGAATGGATTTCCAATCTGCTTTTTATACTACACCATCCATTATTTTATATACTTCTACCATGCCTCATCTTATTCAGCTCCTTTCTGAGGTAACCATCCTAATATTTTCAAGCTCTTTTCATAAGAGAGTTTTTCCAGTCCTTGATCATTCATGTTGCCCTTCTCTGAGCCCTCTCTAGTTCTACAATATCCTTTCTGAGATGGGATGATCAGGACTGCAGTTTTGCAGATAAAGTTGCATCACCAATAGATATAAAAGTATAACAGACTCCATATGATTCACCATCTCATTCTTTATCAATTCCTGGTTCCCATCTGTGAACCCTCTCTAACTTCTGTAATGTTCATTTTGAGATGGGATGATCAGTAATGCACACAATATTCTAGATGAGGAAGTCCCACTGATTTGTATAATGGCATTGTACATTTTTCTGGATTATTCTGCAGCCTGTTCTTGATACAGTCTAACATCTTGTTAGCTTTTTTGACTGCAGCAGCAGATTGAGAAGACTCTTCCCTGAATTGAGCAAAATGATGTCCTAGAATGCTTAAGACTGAGGCTTGTCTTTCTGTAAGGTGGTGCAAAACTTTCATGGCTGTCCCCTCCCTTCTCCCTGGAAACTGCCATGACCAGAGGTCCAGTTCTCACATCAAGATGCAAAGGCTGAGCATGGAGATACATTAATGTGCCAGCCACATTTCTAACATTAAAGAAACACAGAAAAACATCTGATGAACATCACCTACTCTCTGTCAGTGGGATGGAGATCACAACACCATTCCCTGTTCCAACCCAGAGGCGGTTGCCGGCGATGAGCAGGGCTGTGATTCGCACAAATGAGAAGCCCAACTTTCCAGTGCCTGCCAAGCATGAGAATTGCAGAATCAGTGAAGACAGTATTGCTTGGAGCAATGCCACCTATCAAACACTGATGCGCCCCGATCTCCAGAACAACAAACAGGCCATTTCCTGACTGGCACTGCTTTCTCACCTAGCATCTTGCTGACATAAGGCTCTATGTCCACATCCTGAAGGTGCTGATGGGTGTGGGCATGATATAGCCTCAGTGTAGAGTCCAAGCGTATTGAAACCCACACCCCATCTCCGATCCATGCCAGCTGACGGACCTGGCTTTCCCGACGTGGGTGGGCATCAAAGGATTTCTGAAAGGAATCATAGGGGGAGCAACATGAGTTTATCACTAGGCTGGGGAGCATTTGTTGGCTTTCATGATTCCTGGGTCATAGGCATAAACTAAGGAGGTAGCTCTGAAACCTCCAATACAGTACCCCAAAGCTGAACTGTGTGACTGGCCAGCAGTGTTCCCTCTAAGCTTCACTGCAGCAAAGCTTCACAGGTAATTAATTAGCCCTTCCCAGTCAGAGGCTCAAGGCTCCGATAACTGACTGGTGGGGCTGATTACAGGAAACAGATATTTTAATGGACTGCTTTGGAACTAGGACATTCATGAAATGGCTCATGCCAAAGAGTGAAATGAAATGAACCTGTTTTGCCTTACTCGTTCCCTCTAAGCTTCACTGCAGCAAAGCTTCACAGGTAATTAATTAGCCCTTCCCAGTCAGAGGCTCAAGGCTCCGATAACTGACTGGTGGGGCTGATTACAGGAAACAGATATTTTAATGGACTGCTTTGGAACTAGGACATTCATGAAATGGCTCATGCCAAAGAGTGAAATGAAATGAACCTGTTTTGCCTTACTCAGAGC